ATTAACAATTCTCAATTAATATTAAAAATTTCTGGCAGCATATAAGTTAGTGAACATAAAATATAACCTTTAGGCCTAATATTAAGATTATTGATTTGAATATTCAGAGTAATTACTTGTGCAATTAGAAATCATAGCGTATTAAGATCTTGATTCAAAATCTTGCTTCTATTAACTATGCTTTATGTATGATCATTGCATATTGAAATTCTAGTTTAAGAGAAAATTCTAAAAATGAGCATAAAAAAGATTCATATTAATCTTACCTAATTATTAATACTAATTAGATGAAATTAATCCTTATTAGCTGTATATTAAATGTTACCATATGGTAGATAAAGTAAAATCTAGAACAATATGCTTTCGCTAGTTAAGTGATTGACACACTAAAACCTATTCACTATATACAGTTAACATGTAAACAAATGACATGGCACACCAAGTGTATCAGGTCACCTTTGAGTTTTGTGAATTTTACCATATGTTACGGAGGATTTAAACAGTTAGTCTATATTCTTTTAATGTTTTAATGATATGAAAAAGCTAAATCTATTTTAAATCTAAAAAAAGCATTTATAAGGATATTTTGCTCTGAAGCTATATTTTCCAAAAATGTTTTCAAGCTTCAAGGGATTGTATATAGTTTTTTTTAAAATTTTATGAGTATTGGGGATGCTTATTTTTAGTGGAATTGCAGGAACCACAGACATCTGATTAAAAATTGGAATGGTGTAAATTAATGCTATCAGTGTTCCTGATACACATACAAATTATAGAGAACCTCTTTACAATTTCTTTATAGGGATACATCTACAGTTAAACTACTAAATGATATGCCTATTTATGTGAAAATTGAGAATATACTACTTAACATTTTTTCTGACCTCAAAAATTTATATAAATATCTTGTCATGTGATGTGTGACTTAAAATAAAATTTAACACAGGTATAGAAGATCAACACTAATACCAGTATGTAATAGTAAAGGGTGCATTACCCTACTGTTTATTTTAGTTTTTAGTTCTTAACATCTAATTCCATTACCTTTCCATTTGTATACATTTTATTGGAAATAGGTCTTTATCTCAAATGTTTAGCTGTGTAGTGATTTCTCAGAGCTGCCCATTTGGAGTTTGCCTTAACTCAAGTATGATATTGTTTGGTATAAAGACTGGTGTAATGCTGTGAAGTGAATCGATGTACTTATACTAGGTAACTTGGATTAAAGGTAAAGGGATTTATGGGAGTTTACAATCCCAATTTTTTTTCACGAGTAAGTTTTTAAGAACCAAGCCTTATCTGAATACTCAATGAAATAGATAAATGCTTTGAGTTTTAGATATGTTAATATTTGATCATAGTAAAGCTTTAACTACACACAAGTTAACTTCTTTAGTGAGCATTAATGATGCAAAAGTCGTATTGTAATCAGAATATTAACAAATGTCTTTATCAAAAGGTTTAAAGTTCAGCATCTGATGATGATAAACATAACCTCACCAGAATTTCATTAAAAACTTAAAGGACCATTGCTTTGATATATTTCTCAAACCTCAGCATATGATAACAAAATGTTTTGAGAAATTCTACCGTATTTAAACATCGCTTCATAGGCAAAGGACGACAGGATACACCATGCAATAAGAGAAATTTTGTGAAGATACCTGCTCTTTTTTCATTAGTTGAACAAACTTTGGAGCTGTATCACTAACAGGGCCCAAACAAGTCAATACTTGACCTTTGCCCGGATTGAACCCTAAACCAAACTTAACAAGCAACTTCTGAGCCACCTTTACTCAAGAATGAAAGGGGGCATTTTTTTGTGATTTGATATTAATGAGTATTTCTTTGACAAACACTTTGGCATTTTATCGATTTTGCAATTTGACAATCGATAATCAAAATTTAATAAATCATTGCTACCATAGTTTATTATATTTCTATTAATTTACCCAGCCCTACCTTCCCAGCAATTAAAATACTGGTATTATGTTTTTCCAAGTCAAACAACCAACAATTGCTCAAACTGGTATTTCTTTATCACTATTCTATATCTTAATAATCAACACTTAAGTTTCACCCAAAATAGTTGAGAACAACAGCTTCTATTGCCCAATCAATTTTTTCAAGATACATAAATGACCCACTAACCATTCAAAGATATAACATGTCCAAATTAGAAAAAAAAATATTCTTCTTTAGAATAAATAGGTAAGTCCTAAAGAAGGGTTACTAGTAGGGCAAACCTAACCTTCTACCAAACTAGATTTATATCAATTTTGGAACTACTAGTTTAAAAACAATCAAGATCAGCCTCTAATCTAGGTAAAACCACTCATTATTAAACAGATAAACAACTTAAGATTTCACAATCCCATTAATTACAACATATGGCCATGGTCTAAATTTCAGCTCTCTTAAGCAATGAAAATTCTATTTTCATGGGTGACCAAAAGTTATAGTCTGATGTTTACAGACTTAATCTCACCTCAGACAAATGAATGTCTGAAGAAAAAAACATGGTTTATGAGGACTTGCCAAAACTCTATTAAAGCTATTTTCCTTAGGAGATTTGAACAAAGCACAATATTATACATTATACAAATTGGTCATTTACTGCAAATGATTCCACAGTTACAAAAATATATAGAACATGGAAGACTGAGAAAGGGAAAATGAATCTCTGTAAAAGAGATCTAGGTCCCTCTTAGACTTAGCAGTCAAATGACTTTATTATTGATAAAACAGTTGGTCTGCCCTCTTGAACATTCCAGGTCGAAAATCGCAATTCTTATGATCAACGCAAAGACAAACAAAGACTCAAAGTGGTGTTTTAGACTTGATATTTCAAATCATCAAAACATAATATTTCAATATGAATATTTCTAACATGACGATTTGGCATGTAAACGAGTTGACTGAACCATATATTATAGATAGCCTATAAAGTAAATGATAGGATATCTATGATGGACTGAACACCCTGACGATGGTCAGTGACACCATTGACAGTGTCTAAGTTGACGACTAGCCTAACTGAAGAAACATATTAATCTACCAACCTACTAAAATAGCTATTATTATGCCTGGGATGATAAAAACAGTATTGTCTATTGTCTCTTTCACTGGTCCCGAACCAAATTCAACCATTTTGGTAAACGAAGCTTTTGAAAGGGGCCAAAATATTGGCAAACTTTAAACTTTGCAACACCGCTTACGTTTTCCGGAAGTTATCAACATCAACATTATGAGGGGACTTAACTCAGAACAATTTCAGACAACAACTAATTCATATCCACACTGCTTCAAATCAAGGACAATTATAAAGTTAATAAAAAAAACATATGGTCAATATCTTTTACAAGGGTCTCATAAATTATAGTTCAAGGCTATGTGTAAATATCCAATTTCGTTTAATTTCTCAAAAATCTGAAAATACTCTTGACGGACATAAAGATGAAAATTTTACGCCGACACTCCAAGGTACGAAAGAATTGGGCATAAAGATTTTTTTGGCCTGTTTTTCCACCCCACCTTAAAAAAATACATACCTTTAAATGGCGATTGCCAAGAACTTAAGTATCAATAGAATTCTAAATTGATATTAACAACATAGCTCCCCCAACCCAAAAAATATCAACAAAAGGGGTAAAATGTAGACCTTTTTCATGTCATTTCTGAGGCAATGTGAGTGTGACAATTCTAAAACTTCAAAAGACGAAAAAAATTTCCATATGAAGCTACACTAAATCAGGATAAAATATGAACAGATATCGTTTCACGTTAGGCTACCTGTTTGTGCGAGGAGATAACTATTTTTGGTCATATTTCAATATTTCAAACAGTTTTTCGTTACAATAATTTTGATTTCAGTACGGCCTAACTTGTTTTCGTGAGATCTTGTTTGTGGACAGATGTACTTTTAACAATCTACACTTTAAAAACAAGGTTACATTTTATTGTTATAAATTTGCGTGGTGAAGAAAATAATTTTTTATTCATAACGTCTGTAGATTATCATACACGAAACAACATTGTACATAAATAATTATAAAAATAACATTTCCACATCAATAAACTACCTAAAGGCATTATAGGCTCTAGGTTTTACCTAGCATTGTTTCTGACATCCGGTTTCGTGATCAAATCCGCACGCAATTAGAAAATACAACTTATTTTTTCTCAAACATGTGAACTCGGAATGTTGAAACTTGGAATAATTTACGTATTTTTGGAATTTCTTCTATTAGGTAAGTATAATTTTTGGCTTTAATAGCCTACGCCAAAAATTTACTCTTAATGCTGCAATTCCCATCAGAATTAAAGGCTGTTCGACCAACTGAAGGTCGTAGATCTTAGTACCACTCACGTAAACGATCATTTGTCGGTAGAATATGCTCAGGCCGACAGTGATGGATCAAATTCTCTCAGATGCCACCAGTCATCACCATAGAAGGTGAAAAAAACCCAATTGCTCCGAGATACTGCAAAAGGAAGGTTAACTTAAGCCCCTCGCATAAAAAAAAATATGTGGATGAACACTCTCTTATGCTAACAATAAAATTTTGACGCGTTTCAAGTTGATCAAGAGCAATTTATAAAAAAAAAAAAACATGTTCATCAATTAAACATCGCCAAGTTCAGTCTCGTCCGAAATCTTATCAATCATAATAATCATGAGCATACCATGGTAGGCATCGCATGAAAACTCTATCATGCCTCTTCAACACATCCGAAAAAATAACCTACGCGGTATAAACGAGGATATTATCATCAAGACATTGACAAACTCGTTCAACATCTCATCATTCTGATTATCCATACAAAGTCCATCAAAATCAGTTCAAAAATTGTAGCTTTTATCTTGCTAATAAGAAATATACTGTCGACGGACCCGTCTTAATCCTCTTGAACTCGTATGGTGAAAATGCTAAGTATTCCACCGGTTTTCACAAAACCATGCAGGATTAAGCGAGAACTTTACTACATTTTCGAATTTCATGACCCCTAAAAGAGATAATATATTATGTCCTTTTGTTTTCATGGAAGCTGGTAAAATTTGCAAGCTGAAATTAACGTTATTTGGCCACTATCTTTTCAGGTGAACCAACAGTTGGAGTTGATCCTTTACGAGTGTGGCAACTTTCAAATAACACTTATGGATACAGATCTGATGAAGTACCACCGATATATCCACAAGGAAACTTCTGTGGTCAGTTTGGTGAAGGGCCAGCAAGTATTAACTTCCCATTTCAAGCCATTTCCTTTGATGCGACACAGTCGTCTTTTATTGACGTTGAGCTTAATAACTCGGATATCAGTGAGGACTGGTCGTTGACACTTCATTTGTATCCTAGACATCATAGCGGTAATATTGGTATATTCAGCTATTCGTCAACAAGCGATCAAGGTGTGACAGACATGAAACTAATTTTGCATAATGGGATGCCAAGATTTATGATGAGTTATAACGACATCGTCTGTGGTACTGCCAAATCCCCGGCACAATTACCTTTAAATACTTGGTCGTTTTTAAGCTTGCACAGACGCTACGGGCAACTGGTAATTTCAGTGAACACGACTCGCACTCAGGGTAGCGATGACTGTCAATATGGTTTGCATGGTCCACCAAATGGAATATTGAAAATTGCTGCTATTCAAGGTTCTACATATATTTCCAATTTTGATGGAATGATGGAGTGTTTTATTGTGTATAATGAATTTGTTCAAACTGTGGAGGTGACAAGAGGCGAAACAGCATGTAGTTCAAGTTCAATTCAACAGCCGGACACAGAAAGTAAGTAACATTGCCTGGTCAGTGGCTCAACTACCACAGGGAGCCACGTCCACGGGCCTCCACTCCTAAGAGGACCACCAGCCACCAAAGGAAAAAGATTTCCCAGGAGGGGCAATCAACTTAAATCGGAGGGCATCCACTCAAGTTGATACACTGTGGTTGGTGTTTAGAATGGGATGAGAATTGGTATAACTTTGGCACATTATTAATCGGGCTGCAAGAATCAGCATTATTTTCCCTGTATTATGGATTAATTTATTAGATCTTTTTGTCTCTAAAGCGGATAAACTTTAATGAAATGTACACTATTGTTTACGATGTCGTGTTTGTTTTCTGGAAGGTTCTGCTTTTATATCTTCAACAACTTTCTGTTATTGTTCATGTTGGGCCTACAGTATTTTAATGGTGCAAATAGAGCGGAAGCTATTAGTGTTCTTTTCACAAAAAGTTAAGAAAACCTTTTTTTATCCGTTGAAATTATTGTATTTCAGGTTTTCACTCATGTGGACAAACAGGTACATCAGCAACACCAAGGCATTATATTCTGGACCATATCAACTATTCACCAGATCTCTCCACCTCTAGTCACAATATTACAGCACGCTCGATAACAGAATGTGCCAAATTCTGTTCATGTTCCATCAGCTGCAGTTCATTCTCACTCAAGAAAGGAACTATCGGACATAGCTGCTTCTTATTCGACTTTATAGCAGATGGCATGGCACTATCAGGAATTCCCGACTTTCGATACTATATCCCCCGATATCTAATATAAATCATAACCCGTTCATATCGAGATCAGAATATACAATGCAATATATCAGGTCTAACTCGAAATGTCTCCAAAAAGACTTACTTACTACAAACTAAGTTGTATCACAATATGATAAAAACTATATCCTCTTTCGCGTTCTTAAGGCAATTGAGCAGAAGGACGGACGGAGAATAAAGGGCAGTAACCTAGAAACCTTTCATCAGTGACCTAATTAAAGAAAAACGTATATAGGGTGTCTTGTCAGCAACTATATTATTTAAGTAAGAAACTTTAATATCAAGAAGTGCAACATGATCACAAATATTTGGAAGCAATCTGGTCATATTCAGCTAACAAAACTATGAAATCACCAATTATTTAGAATAAAAACATTTACAATATATTGCACTTGTATAATCTTAACATATTGATAGCATCTTTGTACAATGACATAGCTTTAAAGCCCTGACTAAATAACATGTATCAATATAATGTATCCATATCAACTCTATGTATCATGTAACTGTTATACTATGATGTATTTATTACAACAATATAGTATTTTATGTATTTATGCTGTAAGATTCATCAGTACATCATGTATTAGGTATCCATAAACTATATATTATATATGTATCAATATCATGTATCCATAACATGTATCACAAATAACATGTATTTATTATGATAATATTGTATTACATATACTCAGTTGTTGTCAGTTTATTCGATAGACAATTTTTACATGACACAAAAGCCTTAAAGTATCCATGAAGTAAGCTTACGTTTATTCATTACATTTAAATTCAGAAAAGCATAACAGTTAGAATAGATTAGCACAATTCCTATTCCTTTGGCCTAGCTTATTCGGGACTACTAATTCACAACATATAAAATAAAGCTATATAAAAGCTATCACATTATGCTGTATATCAAAGTTGTTGAAACAGTCATCTATCTATTGTAAGGCTTTGGTACTATAATCTTACAATCAAGAAATTTAAACTCTTTTTGAAATATCAGGCATTGTCTTCTTATTATTCAATGCTATTTGAACAAAAGCAGCTTGTTGCCATTGTGCCTCCGAGAACAAATTGACGTTTCTATTGACTTTGACTTTGAATAGGATATCAGCATGAGCCTTGATTGGAAATACAAACAAAAACCTGATAAAAATTGAACCTGAATTTGTTCTAAAGTAAAAGTCTACACAGTTTTTACTAAGATGTATAATTGGCACTTATGATTTGTCTAGAAATGTACAGAATATATTTAATGTCTTTTAGACAGCAGCAATTACTATATACAGGTACCATTAAACAACTTACAACATCTATGACAGCTTGCAATCACATTTGACTAAAGCATGTACCAAAGGTAATATCAAACATGTCAATCAAATGTCAGCTGACCTTTTTGGTATTAAAGTTACTCCCATTTGTAATCATTAATTTAAAATTGTGCATCTTCTGCTTATGTTGTAATATTTTAAACAAGGCTTAAGCACCTGCCATTTCTTAACCAAGTTTTGAAATAACAAATAAAAGCTTTAAAACCTATCTCGTTTTGAGAAAAATTGTACTTCAAATGCAATATTTAAATCAAATATCAGAACATAATTGGCATTTCATTTTGTGCAGCTTCCACAAATGTCATTCTGTTTTCCCGCAGGAAACATGGAACTGCAGAGAAATCAGAATGGTGGCAAAAGAAGCTTTGAGTTTTTCATTTCAGAAAACTTTCTTAAAAACACAATTGTAGGTTTCTCAATTAGCAAAATAACTACTGCATAATGCTATGTGCTCTATATCTCTCTAGTAACTTACTGATTATATAATATAGAGAAAGTTAGCCTTACTTAAATATAATACATATATACTAAACATATAGTGGAATAAATATGGATTTTCTCATTTACATAAATTAACATAATTAACAAAAATATGTACATAACAATATTAAAAGCTATATGATATTATCTTAATCATCTCATGGGATTTTAGAATTACACATTGAACTTAAAAGATTTTCCTTTATCTAGATATCTATAAAGTTCTCACCTGAATTGGTTGATAGATATAGGCAATGCCATGCAGTGTGAAATGGGGGAAAATTTGTCAGGTTCCAAGTTACTTGCAGCACACAGACTATGAACTAATATCCTATCTGAATGATTTAACATTTTATTTCAATTAACCCTTCGACATATCTCTGACAAGGGGGAAATTGTTGAAATATAAGATATAATCACAACCTACATGTACAATAGAATTTAAATCCTGGACCATTAGGTTATCAAACAAGCTTCTTATTTGCTGAGCAACTTCCAATTCCAACTATTAGACAAGCTTGACATTCAATATATCAATTGTGATGCTAGTTCCAAAAAAATAATTAATAAAAAATTCACAAGAGCTAACATTTAACAATACACATAGCTACTTGATATTAAAGAAAGTTGGACAAATACGTTTAAAATATGACCAAGGAATGTATTATTGGCTAAAATATGAGAATTTTCTTTTAATATTTGAATAAAATAAATGGATATAATATAATTTTGAAAGTGAAGTGAAGTGGAGTTAAGTTTCAAATAAATCTATCAATGTTATAATGTTAGGTGTGGTGTGCTTCTGTTCTATCATTTCAGATTGACCTTTAGCAAAGGTCACAAATACTGCCAAATTATTTAAGTTATACATTCCAGGACGACAAAATCCAGCGCGGAGCTGAACTTGTTTACTTTCACCGACATCTAATGATAATTGTGCTAATGTTTGTCCCACCCAATTAAAACTAGTACTGATAGGTACTGAATGTCTTTGAGGAGAATCACCAGTTTGAGTTGTACCAAGTCTACAAAGAAATGAAATGGAGTTATACATCCTACTCTTCTGCAGTTGTTTATGCTAATGAGGATGCCA